CACATGAAGACATACCATGTCTTCCCGAGCTTCCATGGTCCTGATGCCCGTAGAGCCTTTCTCAGTCACTTACACAAATGCTTTTCAAGCTATGGGGTCACCGTGTTCAAAGACCAGGAGATCGAGAGAGGCCATACGATCGGACCTGAACTTGTACAAGCGATTGGAGAATCTAGAGTCTTGATGGTGGTGCTCTCAAAGAATTACTCTTCTTCAAGCTGGCGTTTAGATGAGTTGGTTGAAATTTTGAAGTGTAAAGAAGCTTCGGGGCAGATTGTATTGACGGTTTTTTATGACGTTGATCCGTCCCATGTACGGAAACAGAATGGTGGTTTTGGAAAGGCTTTTGATAAAACTTGTGAAGGGAAAACTGAGGAAGTGAAGCAGAGGTGGAGGAAAGCTTTGACTGATGTAGCAAACATAGCAGGGGAGCATTCTCTAAATTGGTTTGTTCTTCTTTCGGAGTCAATATTTTAGTGTAGTTGATCTCTCTTAATCGATGCTCTCATGGTGTAGGTCCTGTAAATTCAACTAGGTTTGTGGTTTATCAAATTGAAAATGGGGAAAAACTATTAAAAACCCACCAACGCTAGTTTGTTTTTCTTTTGTTAGGAATGATGAAGGGGAGATGATCGAGAAGATTRCCATAGCTGTTTCGAGCAGGCTGAATGTTACACGGTCAAATGATTTTGAGGGGATGGTRGGGATGGAAGCTCACWTGAGAAAATTGAACTCTCTGTTATGCCTTGAGTGCGATGAAGTGAAGATGATTGGAATTTGGGGTCCTGCRGGAATKSRTAAGTCCACCATTGCTAGAGYTTTGTACAAYCAKCTCTCTASCGRTTTTCGACTTAAATGTTTTATGGGGAACCTCAAGGGAAGTTRTAGGAGCACAATGGGTGTTKATGACTATGATTCCAAGTTGTTGTTGCAAAGSCAACTTCTGTCTAYTATTTTGAACCAAAAGAGTATGAAGATACATCATTTAGGTGCAATGAATGAATGGCTAAAAGACCAACGAGTTCTTATAGTTCTTGATGATGTGGATGATCTAGAACAATTAGAGGTTTTGGCTAAAGAGCCTTCTTGGTTTGGTTCCRGAAGTCGGATCATCGTTACCTCTGAAGATAAAACGATTCTAAAGACACATGCGATTAATGATATTTACTCTGTGGGTTTTCTTTCTAAAGAAGAAGCTCTTAAGATCTTTTGTCTAATATGCTTTCAAGAAAAGTTATCCACGTGATGGGTTTGAAGAGCTTGCAAAGAAAGTAGCAAACCTTTGTGGTAATCTTCCATTAGGCCTTCGTCTCTGCGTGGTCAGACCAAAGTAGAGTGGGAACTTCAATTATATAGTCTAGAAACTTGCCTTGATAGAAAAATTGAAGACGTATTAAGAGTCGGGTATGACAAATTGTTGAAGAAACATCAAGCTCTCTTTCTCCACATAGCTTGCTTCTTCAATAAAGAGGATGTTGACCATGTGACATCAATGCAACTTGGATGTCAAAAATGGGTTGAAGATCCTAGTTGATAAGTCTCTCGTACATATATCCACTGATGGCAAGATAGAGATGCATTATCTACTCCAAAAGTTGTAAAACAATCGAGCAAGCCGGGAAAACGTCAGTTTATAGTAGAAGCTCAAGATGTTCTCAATGTACTGGCAAATGGAACAGTAAGTTCTTACATATACCTTGCTCGATACATCTCAAGTTGGAACGGAGCATCTCTTTATACTCCGTGGTGACTTGTTACATGAACAAATCAGAAACCTTGAAGTTGATGACCACTGTGAACCAGAAGCTGTAGAAAACATTAATTACCAAACAGACAAAGCTGTGGAGGTTGAGAATGTGGAAAGCACTAAACACAGAGGTTTCTGTTACAGTGTCCTTAGGAAGATTGGTCTAGGGAAGAAGAAGACAAAATCTCCACTCTGATTTCAAAATTTCTAACAATTTACACTTGTTCTGCTATAATCTAAGCTATGCCACAATTCATAACAGTCTTATGATTATACAAGATTCAAGTCACAAACCTATCAATAGTTAAGACAAAATTTCCATCCAAAGCTGATCTATAATATAAAGTTAAGAGGACATGTTGGGAGGTTAAATTGAACAATCGATGGAGTCGCCGCACTTTTGCTTTGCAGACTCAACGATCATATCAGTGAAGGGTTGGTTCATTGTGTCACGATTACAAATTGAATCCGATTTTTGAACCTTTCAAAATGCTTCTTCCATTGTTGAAGGATTTTGAGGTCCGAGGCTTGAAGAAGACGATAGAGAGAAGAATGAAAAAAGCCTTTTAAGGCCCATTAAGCCCAAACATTACAATTGCAATTGGAGAGAACGGGAAAAGGCGGTGTGATGGGAAAATGAGAGAGATGGTGTGAAGAAGATAATCGAAGAAGAGTAATGGCTACTCCTTGGTACTTTGTTGCTCTACTTCTCACCATTCTTACTAGCTCTCAGGTTCCATTTCTTTTTCCCTTCTTCTTTGCGTCGTTTTCGATTTGTTACTATTTCTGAAATCTTGGAATCTCCGGTGGTTCATGGATCTGATTTGAGTTGTATATTGTCTCCAAATCTTTTTGGATCTGTATCGAGCAATGGTCATGATGGATTCGTGAAATTCCAGTGGATTCTGGTGTTAATTTGATTGTTTCTCTCTTGATTCAAAACCCAATTTCATTCTATTGCGGCTACTTATTTCAAGTTCATTCATACCTGTCAACATTTCACTTTATGCTTGTGATTTAGTAGAGAAAAAGAGATTGCATGATTGTTTGATTTTCGTAGTTGAACAAGTTTAGTGAGAATTTTTTGTCACCGATAAGCTACTAGAAATTTCATGTTATTAGTCTATACATCCTCCTTTGTGTTCTGGGTTTATGTTTGAGATAGTAACTGAAAAATATTAACTGCGGATAGATTCGGTAATGAGAGCTAAGTTGGTGATATATTTCTTTTTCCTTGTCTCAGGGAATTTTAACAACTCTTTCTCAAAGCAATGGAGGTTATAAGTACGATTATGCAACTGTTCCATTTCTTGCCGAGGTTTTTAAGGTATTTTATTGTTTTCAGTTTGCTAAACCCATTTTGTAGTTTATGCATATCTTATTTAGCTGCTTAGTGTTTTCTTACTTTTCTTAACTTGTTCTGCAGCTGATCATTTCTGGTTTATTTCTCTGGAGAGAGATGCGGACATCTTCCTCAGCAACTGCAAGGATCACTACGGATTGGAAGAGCGTGCGCTTATTTGTTATTCCTTCTCTTATATATCTCATCCATAACAATGTACAGTTTGCTACATTGACTTATGTGGACACATCCACTTATCAGATCATGGGTAATCTGAAGATTGTGATTTGTGACCACTGGCATACTGTTTAGGTATCTGCTTCGTGTGTCTTTTTTTCTCTGTATTATTATTTTCTAAAGAAATAGGAACAACAACAACAAATTTATTCTATATTCTCTCTCTCTCTCTGGAGTAAGAAACTTGTAATTTATTGTCTTTATAGGTTATTTTTGAAGAGGAAATTATCAAACCTTCAGTGGATGGCAATCGGTCTTTTAGCTGTTGGAACAACTACCAGCCAGGTGATGCATACTCATCGAATTGCGTTTGATTATTGGAAAATAATCTTTATAGGCTTATAACCTTATGCTTCACAAAATATTGCTCATCGTAGCAGTTTTTGGGTTTTATGTTTGGTAATTCAAAACATAAAATTTGTCTTGTCCTTTTAGGTTAAGGGATGCGGAGAAGCTTCATGTGATTCGCTATTCACAGCACCAATACAAGGGTATTTGTTGGGCATTCTCTCAGCTGGCTTGTCCGCACTAGCTGGAATCTACACAGAGTTTCTGATGAAAAGAAATAATGACAGCTTATACTGGCAAAACTTGCAATTGTATACGTAGGTATCTCTTCTTCACATCAAACTTTTCGTGCCAAAAGTATTAATGTTACGCTGCTTATTCAACTTTGAAGCTCTTCATTGTGCAATGGTATTCGGTTCAAAGATCTTATTCTTTCTTTCTTTACGTTTATCAGGTTTGGTTCACTTTTCAACGTTGCTCGACTTATAGCAGATGATTTCAGACTTGGGTTTGAAAAGGGTCCTTGGTGGCAACGTATCTTTGATGGGTATAGCATCACCACTTGGTTGGTAGTTCTGAATCTCGGATCCACCGGCTTACTCGTCTCGTGGCTAATGAAGTATGCAGACAATATTGTGAAGGTAAGGATCAAACTTTTTCTTCGTAATCAAATATATAACAAAGTAAGAAAACAAATTGTTCTTAAACTCACATCCACATTTTCTTATAGGTTTATTCTACATCAATGGCGATGCTACTTACTATGGTTGCATCCATATACCTCTTCAGTTTCAAACCAACAGTGCAGGTTCGGATATAAATATCGTATGTAGCCACTCGTGCTTTCGTACCCGTATTTACCTCATGCGTCTTCATTTCCTGAAACAATCCTGCAGCTTTTCTTGGGTATTATCATATGCATCATGTCACTCCATATATATGTACTTTTCTCCTCCACACACGCTCGTGGACTTGCCCGTGACAAACGAAGCACATTCCAAGACCTTGAAGCAAGTTACCGTAGAAGAAAAGACAGATTCTTGATTCAAATGGACGAAAAAGGTTAGTTCTACAAAACTCTCATCTATATAGAAAAGCATTTGCTAGTAAATGAGAGCTCAGTGATCTTCTTCAATTAGAATCAGAAACTTGCTTATTGGTTATTTTGGAGCAATGATCTGATAATTTTTTCTTCACGTACCGATTCTATTTTTTGTAAATGTACATCGAGGTGCCCCAAAAGTAGTAAATTCAATTGTTGGAGCCTTTTGCTGATGTTGCCTATGCAGGAGGAGTGTACCAAGTAATTTATTGTGTTTCTTTCTTAACCGGCTTATTTTTAA